TTTTTTGGCAAGAATTAAAAATGAATAACCTATTAAAGTTCTAGCACGAAAATAAAAAATGGATCTGTTTAACTCTTAGATTTCATTTACTCTTGGATATACGGTTTGGACTATTCGCAAAATAGGAACAAATATGGCAGCAATATTATTACTTACCTCTTGCCTTAGAGAATTTTGAATCTCAGCATTAGATTGTTGTTCGTTCTTGCCATTGGCACAATTATCTAAAAGTGTCCCGTAGGCCATATCCTGGTATAAAAGAGACCAATATGGTCAAAAAAATTTGGTATGCCAGTTTTATTCCTATTTTAGACCTACACAACCTGTTTAAGGTAGTAATCAGTGATATAAAAACTTAAAAGAGATTGAGAAAAGGAAACTTCAGTGTGTTTCAACCTAAATTACACCATACGAATAGTGTTTAATCAAGGGGAAAGCATCCATTTAAGGATATAGACAAGTTCTTTAACAATTATTACTTCAATAAAAAAATGCAGATGGGGCACAATAAAGCATCTTTACCAATTTCTGTCTAAGAAATGCTTCATCTGTAGAATGATCCAAATCATCTTCCTGAAGTCCTCTGCCATTTGGGAAGCTGCCATTGCGAAAACAAAACTCATTAAGAAACTTTTAAATTCAACATAAGATACTTGCCAACTCAATCTATAAAAGAAAAGCTGAAATTAAAAGACAAATTTTCACAAATCTCACGGACTGCTCCAACAAGCTCAGCGGATTCTGGACGAAATTGAGGGTGGCCCTTGGTAGGATTGTAAGCAACAACCACCAAACCTGAAAACCGAACCGAAACAGCATTTTAGAAACCGTTGATTTGGTGCCATGTGAACCCGATCAACGAAATGGTTTTGAACCAAACCAAACCGGTCAAAATTGTTTGATTTAGGTTTGAGAATTTTAATTGCAGTTTAAAACCAAACTGGATCAGCGAAAAAATATATAAAAATGAAAAAATTATTATTATTTTTTAAATTCATCCAAATATGTAAAATTCAATAGTTGTCATTTGTAGGTATTTTTGTCGATTTCTAATTTTCTAATACAGATATATTGTTATTATCCAATAATCCTATTTTATATCTAATAATTTCAAGACTAATATAATCTATCAAAAATCATTTTCCTCTTCAGAATTTAGATGAACTCCAGAGACACCCAACACAGTTTTGAGCCATCGGCACCACACACTTCTTTTTTAGATTTTTCACGCCTCTTCAAAGTTGAATTGAAGTTCATTATACCAAATTAGAGACAAAGAAATCCTAGACCTTCGGTGATAATATTTGCGACGAATAAAGTTTTAGATCAATAATTTTTTTGAGCAAACTAAGGTAAGAATATGAAATTATATGCGTTTCGTAACATCATACAAATGTAAACTTGTGTAATTATTATGTTTAGATATTATAAACAATTGTTTTATTATTGTGGTTGGTTATTCTCTTTGTCCAATCAATATCCTTTTTTTTTTTCAAAAATGATGATCACGAGAACTTGTTAGACATCATTATATTTTTTGGATCTTATATCTAGTTTAGTAGACTTGTATTGTAACGTTATTGTATCGTCATTAGCCTAAAAAATGTGAACAAAAATGGAAAAAAACTATTTAACTATATTTTAGTTTATTGTGATTTCACTTTGATTTAGTTGATATTTAAATTTATAGTAGATATATTTAGCCCCTTTTTGAGTCATATTTTTTATATCATCATAATGAAAAAATTGACCGTTGGAGAAGATACCAGGTCCCACACATGAAAATAGCAGGTCAACAAAGGCGTCTGGACTTGTGAGATAACGGTCCAAATTTTCATTTTTTTCGTCCCAAAAATTTGGTTCAAACAGGGGTTTAATTTGTTTTAGATTTATTACTAGTAAGATATAAATATATATTAAATTCAATGAATTAATGACATAAAAGTAGACAGGCAAAATTATATATGGTGAAATCGACGATTTAAAACCGGACCAAACCGTTAGGTTTCGGTTTAAATTTTTCTCAAACCGTTCAAAATGGTTTGGTTTAGGTTTGGATTTTTCTCAAACCAGTTTAAATGGCTTGGTTTGAAAATCTATCAAAAATTAGTAAAATCGAACCGCTTACACCCCTAACCCATAGTAGAATTAGGTGCGCCAGGTTGAGAGGAATGTTGTGGTGGTGCTCCACGATTAAAAAGGTGGCTGGATGTGAAAGTAACTGAGAAAAAATCGTGGCTGCGCTCACGATTTTGGATGAGAATTGGTGTTGTTTTTCGGCGGTCTGGTGTACAAGGGATGGTCAAAGGTTATAGACGGAGGTGAGGAGGTGCTAATGGTGTGTGGGTCCGGAGGCTTAGGTGGAAAGTGGTGGTTGTTATTGATGGAAGGCGGTGGCGGATTGGTAGCTCAAGAAAGAAAGAATCTCGGGGAAATGGAACAGTTTTCTGTGCTTTAATATTTTGCGCATTTTGGCTTGAAAATGCTCAACACATCATTTTTGACATTTTGAGTTTTCAGTACAATTTTTTTTTTTCAAAAATTCATTTTCAAAAATGGGAAAGAGAATGGGCTTTCACTGTTTTGAAAAATCGAAAATAGAAAACGGATTGAAAACAGTAAAGAGAACAGCCCCTTAGTGTCTTGGATAAGGTTAATGTGTATATAAATTTTTTTAATTTGATTGGCACATATTGTGGAGCTTGTGTTGGAGAGATGCATTATTTGTAACGAATTTTTTATTATGTTTAGAGAAGCTTTTCAAAAGAGTCATGCTATTTAGTCGAATTGGGGTTACAATCCCAGTTTAAGTAGTGTTGAATGATAGGTTGAATAAAAGAAATGTGAAATTAAATGACTTAATTAATTTCACCTATCATTTAATGTTACATTAATGCCACTTAGATTGTGGTTATAATCATGTAGAGTTACATAACATTATTCTTTTCAAAATGTGTGTGGCCACTGATTTTTTGAAATGATGATTAAAAGGAGAATAAGGACCTTTTGCATTGAGGAATTATCTTTGTTTGTAAGGGTAAAAATGTCAACACTCCAATTTGCTTGGCAATAGAGCATTGGGTAAATTTTACATTCTTGCATCTATTTCCTCAATCTCGCACTTATAAAAAAATGTATAAATAGTCACAAGACACTGAAGCGAAGTTGGACTAAAAGGGTGAAATTATCCAAAAATATTTTCTTTATTCCAAAACAAGGTCAAGATATAGGCGCATTAATAGTTGAAAAAGTGATAACTATATTTTCAAAAATTGGAGACTATTAGTAGAGTTTGCCTAAAATTTTAGCAGAAATCTTCACACGCTTGTCACCTTTGTTGTAGAGGTGCGCGTGGTCGATGAAGTATGTGAAAGTAGAATTGAGCTGGCAAGTGGATATAGGAAGTTAATTTGACTATTCTTTTCCAATAAAGAGAATATCTAATTTTTATTAAACAGCTCAACGAATTGCCACTATTGATAAAACAGTAAATGGATCCCAATTTACTGTACAAGAGAGAAGAAATGACGTCATTTTTGTCTATATATTTTTTCTACTTTTCATTGTTGAAATTCTTTTTTTCCTTCTTTCTTTTTCTTCTTTAGCTCACGTCCATTCCGATTTTTGCTCCCTATTTTAGGCAACCATACTCCTTATTTTCAAGTACAACAATTTCTATTGATTGATTTACGCAGTTGAAGAGGTGTATGAATTTAAATATCTCTTCCTACTCCCCTTTCTTTTCGAAAAAAAAAAAAATTTTGCTGGTTGTAAAGGTTAGTAGTGTTTTCTTCGTATTTTTTTTATGGAATTAATTTAGATTTTGTTCTAAGTTTTATAAAAAAACGCATATTTTCTTTTCCACCTTCTTGTTTAGGCTGTATAATTAATTATTTTCCTAAAAAGTATTTCTTCATCATAGTTTGGTAAATTGATGTTAATTTGGTAAATCCATTTTTGTTGGAATATCGAGAAAGTATTGCTTTAATGTGATCTTTGATGTTAATTTGGTGAATTCATTTTTGTTGGAATACCGAACATTTAGTTTTGCTAATTTTATTGTGGATGCTTAAAAAAAAATTTGCTCCACACTGTGCGGAATAACTCTGCACTTCGTGGGAGCAAAGTACAGAGTTACGGACAACTCCGCATTGTGCGGAGTTGCTCCGTACTTTGGTCACTCACCATAGTGCGGAGCAACTCCGCATCTCCATGCAGTATGCGGAGTTGCTCCGTACTTTGGTCACTCACCATAGTGCGGAGCAACTCCGCATCTCCGCACTGCATGGAGAGATCAACTCTCCAGAGGGTTTGGAGAAACTTTTTTTTTTTGCTTATTCTTCATTTTTTTTCTATTTGGTTTTTTATTTCTTCATATTACCAAATTTTTTCACCAATATCGAGTTATCTCCAAACTCTCCGGAGCTAGATTTTTTTTTTCCACATTTTTCTTTCTTTTTATTCTCTTTGGTTTTCTTAAATTTAAACTATTTTATTTTTTATTTTTTTAGTTTACCATTGATATGTAATATATATGTATACATTCCTACATAAGAAACAAATAAAATAGCATAACAAAAAAAGAAAAAAGAAAAAAAATGTCTCCGAACTGTGTAGAGAGTTTGGAGAGAAACTCTCCAGACTCTCTGCTCTTGGTTTTTTTTTTTTTTATCTATTTGATTTTTTATTTTTTTTAGATTACCATAATTTTTCACCAATGTCGAGGTATCTTCAAACTCTTCGGATGCTCCGCACGCACTGAGCTATGATTTTTTTCCCCATTTCTCTTTATTTTTCTTTTTTTTGCTCTTTGGTTTTCTTAAATTCAAACTATTTGATTTTTTATTTTTTTAGTTTACCTTTGATATATAATATATATGTATACATTCCTACATAAGAAACAAACAAAAAAATAGCTTAACAAAAAAAATATCTCCACACAGTTCGGAGAGATCACTTGATCTCTCCGCACAATGATGAGTGACCAAAGTGCGGAGTTGTCCGTAACTCCGCACTTTGTGAGAGCAACTCCACACTTTGCTCCCACGAAGTGCGGAGCAATTTTTTTTAAGCATCCACAGTAAAATTAGTAAAACTAAATATTTGGTATTCCAACAAAAATGAATTCACCAAATTAACATCAAAGATCACACTAAAGTAATACTTTTCTCGGTATTCCAACAAAAATGAATTTACCAAATTAACGTCAATTTATCCAAGTAAGATCAGACAATACCTTCTAGGAAAATAATTAGCTGTGCAGAAGCTGTGCTTTTGTTGGAATTTTGACTTTCTTTTGGCGAATCAATTTCATAGTATTTATGGGATGAATTTAAAGTTTTTGTTAATTATTTTAAATTTCCGATATGATATTTCTTGACATTGTGCTCGATTATATTTTTAATTTGACTGCATATTATTGGCTCATATTCTTTGGCAAAAATCCTTTGGCGGGTGTTTCCCTATATATGTTTGAGCTTCAAATTTTTTGTAATTTGGGCTTTAGATTGAGCTTGGTTTCATTACATATTATGATCATAATGTTGCTTCAAAAGGCTGAATGGAGTTTGATAAATGTTTGATAAAATGCTTAAGAGAAGGGATGAGGCTACTGATCATAATGTTTGGCTTTTAAATGTTTGACTTTTAATTGATCAAAATGCAAGAAATGATTTTTCCTTTTTTCTCCCTTCTTAACAATAAGATTTTTTTTTTTATTTCTTAGCATTGTAAATGACAATTTGCATGTTAGTTTTAAGGATCCATATGAAGAGCTCTTTGAATTTGGTCGATTTTATATTCTTAAACATACTAGCCTTTTGTAGTGCTTGTTTATAGATTGACTCGTCGAGAGAAATGAAATTGATAGAGAGGAATGAATAGGCTCAATAATAAGAGAGAGAATGAAATTGGTTCAACTATTGAGAGGGGATGAAAAGTGAATAGCTTATAAAAAGAGAATGAATTTACTCATTTATGCAGACTACGACTTTCATGTCCCGTCTTCTTGTTTTGCTTCATGACTCTATTTCCTCTTTTCAAAATAAATGGACTAATTATGCAGTGACACATATTATACATTTGAAATTTCTTATGTCGGTGTAAAATAACTTTGAAATCATTTTAGAGCAAATTAAATCACTGCAATATCTCTATTAGAAATACAATTGTGCAAATTAATATGAATTAAATCTGCATTACATGAGACTTGGATTTATTTATAACAAATGTTGGTGATTGGTCTAAAAATAATATGTGCAAATACGGTATGCTGTAATGCTATATGTTATAGTTAAAATATAACATATTATAATTATATGCTATAATACAATGTACAACATAATATAATGAGAATTTATTATTGTACAATTTTTTTTTCATATATTACAGCAATATGCATATTACAATATATAGCTTATCGTATATATTATAATACAATCTGTACGGTCATGCAACGACTTTTTATTTTATTTTTTAAATTTAATCATGCAACCAAATATTTGTTTAGTTTGTTACTTTAATAGTTAAAAATATGCATTAAATCTAATAAAAAAATATAATTACAAGAAGAAGTTTAAGTTCAATATAATACAAAAAAAAAAACTCTCAAAGAAATAATCATTGTTAACAACAAAAGAATCTAAAAAAATGAAGAAGACAAAAACGAAAACAGTAAAACTTGTGAAAGGAAGAAAATGAAAACATGATGCCAAAAAATTTGGCATTATTGTTCAAAAGAGAAATGCTTTATTAATATACAAAAGACTTTTGCAGTCATCAGGTTAAAAGTATGGATTTATTGTGTTGTGTTAAAAAAATTTTAAATAATCGTAATAAATCTTCTTATTACGCTAATAAAATCATAATATATATATATATATATATATTTTTTTTTACAAATAGTATAAAAAATTATTTTTATCTTCAAGAAAAAATACATTTAAAAATTAGCAATTTTATAATCACCTTTTTTTTTTTAAATTCTCGAAAATACAATTATAAAAAAGAAAACAATATTGAATTACAAAAACCAATATCTGCCAAATATGGTATCTAAAGACAATATGTGCAAATACAGTATGCTACAAAGACGGTATGATGCAAATACGGTATGCGGTATATATGATATGATATAAATACAGTATACTGTAAATACGGTATGATGCAAATACGGTATGCTGTAAATTCTATGCGCTGCATATACGGTATGATGCAAATACGATATGCTGTAAATACGGTATGATGTAAATACGATAGGCTGTAAATACAGTATGCTGTATATACGGTAAGCTGTAAATACAATATGCGTAAATATGGTATGTTGCATATACGATATGTAAAGTCCATATACGGTATGAATGAATCCGATTTCGTCCACTACAATAAATTTCAATATCGTATATATTGTCTACCGTATTTACAGCTTACCATATATGCTGCTTATCGTATTTGCAGCTTACCGTATATGCAGACAATTTAACGTATTTGCAGCTTACTATATATATCGATTTTTTTACTTATAAATATCGAGAATGCAGAACACCAT